CTTTGCTCCCCCACCCCCTCCTACACTGGAAACACCTCTCGAACTGCCACTGCTACATGATACGCAGAGTAGCAGCAATGTGCACTCTCCATTTTAGTTCTGCAGTTGGCTCTAGAGGTATATTAACTAGTCATCATTCCCTCACCTTCTCAAAGACAGAATGAAAGAATTCCCAGAAGAATTGATCATGCATGAGATTATTTCATTTTCCAACTGCAGCGAGCTGGCATATATACAACATTTTCCTGATTTAGTTTCCTGGCTTACATTTCATTTCAACTTACATAATTTTACATGTACCGGGCGCTCGAGGTTTGGCAAAGAAAATAATAATAAAAAAAAAATCAAAGAGTAGCCACCAAAATTAAGCCTTCGACTAGTTAATTATCGAACTTGAAAGATCGACGTACGTTGGAAATAGTGAAACTTCAGTTTCACATTGTGCACAGCGAAAATTCTTGCCACGATTCATTCAGTTTAGTCACCGTAAGTGCGACAAAGCTGTCTAAGTTCTCACCTACCGTGGAATCAATACATCAAGTTAGAAGTTCACAGGAGAAAAAGACCCTTCCACACATCTTCCACAACTGCGCCACTCTGTCCCTGGAATTCTGCGACCGATGACAGTGCGACTAAACAGTGCTACTTACATGACGTACTAGTTTCCAGTCACGTGCCGAGCCAAATAACACGGAAAACATAGGGGAAATCTTTATACTTTTAGAATGGATTTTTTTTGGTTTTTCTTTAGCGTCACGCCAAATCTCGTATTCCTCGAAACACAACAGAACCCAGCATGAATGATCAGTCCTTGGTTACCCATCCTTTTGACAGGGAGGAAGAAGATTCCCTGCAGCAGCTGTTCACATCATTCTGTAATCATCTGACGCTCGGACAGTGGGAACTAACTCGTCTATGTTTGCGGGGTTTATTCGATCAGCGTAACGCACTCAATAAGCCTTTGAAGGAGATTCTGAGAGCGATCATCGATCAACCACATCACGCAAGGTGACTATAGTGGTCTTAAAATTTTGTGAATACTGTTGATAATATTTAAGCTTATTGAATGGCCTGGCGTGGAATTCCATGTAGACCTGACCTGGTTAATCAAGCTGCTAAATAATTTCGTTTAGTTTCGAAGATTACTTTCCCACCATTGGTTAAGATATCTGCAGATAATCGATCTTATCTCCTTTGATTATTTATATATAATCATAATGATAATGTTTGTTCCATCTCAATCTTACATTGTTCCACCCCCCTTCACTTTCCCCCTCCCCTCTAAGTGGTTTTGCACCTGTACAGAAAACATTTGAGAAACTAAGTATGTGTCGGAGCATGTCGTCCCAGAATTACTCCAGTGCCAGAAAGGAAATGGTAGGATGAGGTGAAAGCAATCAGAACTATCTGATTCCTGTTGTCTAGAAAGCTTTTCATTTTTCAAAGCTGTACATTTTGATGGAAAATTATTTGTGGGAAGAATTAAAGCTATGAAGGTGTCAAAAATGGCCCAAGCCTCCTGTGCAATCTAGTTGGGTTGCATGAATTGATCAAGTCAGAGTTAATGTTTAGAACGTTTTTTTTCTTTCAACACATTCATCAAGCAAACACTCTGTGATTAAATAATCTGACTATAATTGAGCATTACTGCTTGAAATCCAAAAACTCCAATGAAGAAGCTAACTTGTCTTTTAAGGACTTTATCAAGGCTTCTATTGATAACAAGTGCATTTGCTTCTGAGAGGACCACCCTGATGTAAATTAAATAAAGTTGTCTGTCTGTCTAACTGTCTGTCTGTCAGTCTGTTTCCATATCATTTGTATGTAAAGATCAACTTGTGGCTAGCAACTCCACATGTATGTGCGGTGGACAGAACTGTTCCAAGTCTCATCCCATGAGTGTGATATGTCATTGACAAATGATGACCGTATGGTAATCACCTTTTAGCCAATCACAATTTTTTGATATGGAATTCTGTTGCTCAAGTGAAGTCCGCAGACTGTCTATTGAATTATTTCAGAAAATAACTTTATCCCTTCACTGAAGTTTTCTTTTGGTTTGAACCCCGTGAAAGGGGTGAACTCTCAGCAAAATCAGGTGGCGGTGTGCGGCCTATTTCCCGAAACCCTTATCCTGTTTAAGACCAAAATCTGTGACCTTTCTTACCCTATTTTGATACCCTATAAAGGAATTAACCCTTAAATTAATACCCTGTTTCAGACCTGTCTTATATTAGATAGCTCAAACTGATGTTAAAGGCATTTTTAAGGGCTTTTGTTGATGGTCTTATTGATAGTGATGAAAAAGTAGCTTCTTCTAAAAAACATACCAAATCCAAGATTAGAGTAACTTAGAGTGCAAAAACCATAACCCATTTAAGACCAAAATGGTCAAAATCGTTACCCTTTCTATTTAAAAACCATACCCTTTGGGGCTGCCCCTAACCTCTGTGGAAATTCCAGTTGAGTTTCATACTTTCTTTTAAGTTATTGTTGGCTTTCGAGGTCCCCCACTCCCATGAAATTTTCCAATGACCTTCCATGGGGTGGGTATAGGTGTGTTTGCACTCAGTGCATTCAATTCAGTCCTGACATGTTTCGTACATTTTTTCAGTTATGGGTCACAGTCCATTCCTTCTCCATTCCATTTATCATGGCTGTGTTTGGTGGAGTATTTGGATCTTTTCACTAATGAAGAGGTAAGTTCTTAGTATTTTGTTATTGCTAATTTATTGTTGATAACATTTTTAATTGTAATTACTGGTGATAGCAGTCTATTAATGCTGCAGTTATCAATGCTGTAACACAAAAGGATCAAAAACAATTATGATTGTATGTCCACACCAAAGCATGATAATTGTTTGTTGCAGTATCATGATCACTTATGGTATGTAAAGTTCTAGTGCCATTGAATTAAAAATCAAATGAATGGAATTGCTTATTCACTGCGGTACACAAAAGGCCATATTTGTATTCTCAGAGCTGGACTGGAAATAGCTTGCAATGGAGGATTAGCCTCAGTTGCAAGTATGGCCTATTCACCATTGATAGAGACATCCGGCAAGTGTGATCAATTTGTACCTCCTTTTACATTTTAAGTAAATTTTTAAATTGTGTAATATTAGTTACCTTTTATCACCTGACAGGATCAGATTCCAGAATCAATTGTGAAGAAGGTAGAATTTCGTCTTCTTCTCTACCTTGCATGTCAAGAAGCTCCTCAGAATGTAATTCAGGTAATTAGCATACAAAGTTTATCGACTGGCGACAAGATTAAACATTAAATATTTCATTTATTTGGGCTTATGTTTTTTATATCAATTTTATGGCAAATGTTGAAATTTTGGTACAAACAGAAAGATATTGTTTAATCAATTAATGATGCTAGCTACTTGGCAATTTGAAAAATTTCCAAGATCTCACAACACAAGTTAAACCTATAGCCATCAACATGCTTGTCACAGTTGCCACCACTGAGCTTTATCACATGCACTCTTAGCAGTTAGGCGGTATATGTACGAGTCTAGCTTAGGTCATATGTAACAAATGTTCTGCATACTTTTAGGAAAAGTGATCATGAATCTATCATGATCAGTTGCTTGCTCTTATACGATTTCTAAATCTGGATACAGAGGTCCCACCTTGGAAATCATGAATGGTTTTCCTCCCTAAATGTGTGTAATTTATTTGTATATTTTGGAATGGACCAAAGGTTTTGATTGTTTACTTTTTATACAGGATATTGATGACTATCACAGCCAGATTGTTTACAGGGACCCTGACCTGTTTGCATCAGGAGTGTCAGATCTTCCTTCTTCTACCCTGTCATACTTGAAACAGCTCCTTTCTGAGAGCCCTCAGTTTGGGCGAGCTGTGGTTAATGACCTCACCTCCAAAGGCAAAGGGTTTTTGAAAAATAATCAGTTGCTACAACAACTTTACGTAGATCTCATTAATGAACAACTGAAAGCCTTGGACTCTGATGTTGTGGAAGCAGAATGCATTGACCCAGCTGCAGTTGGTACAGTGGAAAGCCCGGTTGATTCTATCAAGAAACGATGCAAATTTATTTATCAGATGCTCTCATACATGAACCCAAGCCCTGAAATGGTTAGCCTATCTAAGTGTATAGATGATCTTTTCAAGAGTCTTATAAACCGAACATGCATTCACAAGCACAGTAAACTCGACAAGGGCATGCTGTATTCCTGCCTTCTCAGCCAACCCGCAACTTATTTGATTGAAAAGTTCTGTTACATTGAAAACCAAATGCGGTTTTATGTAGAAGGTCCTCCAGAATTACCACTGTCGAGGACATCTCTGCAAGGATTTAAACGACAAGCTGCATTAGTTAGTCCCTTTGTTCAAGTTTGTTATTCACAGTCTTTCATGGAAGATAGGAGAGAAGCTTGGAAATTTTTGTTTTTTCATGCATTGGATGGAAATCATATCTTGGAAAATATAGTGGTAAGATTGACAGTTAGAGTAGAAATTTAATGTATTATAATATTAAGTGAAATCTCTATCACATATTGATTGGTTCTTATACATGTATAATTTATCTATTGGAGGACAGACATATAGATGTCGTCATTAATATACATGTTTATATTTTTTCTATATAATATAAAACATGTCAAGTAGATTCCATTTTGCTGTGGAGTTAACAACAACAACAGCCGTCCATTTTATTGTAAGATCTACAAAACATATTAATTAACAGCAGAAAAACAATTAACTTAATTGGGGAAAAGAAAAAAACTACTCAGAATAGAAAGAAAACTAAACAAGCTGAGCAGATAGAAGGGACACTGCAATTCCTCCCATAATTGTCAAATTTACTTGTCGTCTGGTCAGGGATGACCTTTACAAAGCAAGATCCAAATTGAAGAACTTAACTATTCAAGACATTGGCCTGGATAGACAAGGTGACAGTGTCTGTTCACATAAGACATCAAAATGTGCTTAGAACGAGAAAGTGGCACACAAGCCATTAGGCAAGTGTGTCAGTGATGTTCTTACCACATTTTAATTATTTGATGTCATCTGTGATCTGTTACTGAACAGATGCATGTCAACAGGGAATTTATTTATAAATTGAACTTAACGGTTTTAAAATTAATTATTTGTAAACACATGTACAAGATGGCAATCCATAGTCTTTTAAACCGTTGTAACAGAACTATCTCAGAATTAATCAAAGAAAGTAAAACATATACATTATGTAAAGCAGATATCACTTCATAATTAGCACTGTAAGCAAGCAGTTGCTTGTACAAGTCACAAGGTGTTGCTAAGGAGAGTCATGAAAAACCCCTGATCAGTCATGTGAGGGAGATGACCTCTGACAAGCATTGTCTCTGAGTTAACATTTATGAAATTATATTTAGTCAGTTCTAAGGAATTATGCTCTTCAAACGTACATAAAATAATAATGTACATAGTAGTACAAGCTTTGAAAAGAGATTATTGTCAGGGTGTTATCAATCATTCCCCTCCTCGAGAGATACATGTGTCTAAGATCTGAGTGAAAAAAAATGTAAAATAATTTTGCAGTTCTGTAGAGATCCATGCAATGTCTTAGAGATACATGGATCTTTAGAGAGTTACATGTACTTAATCAGTAAGGTTGTGAACAGGCTCTCTTGGCAAAGATGGGGCAAAGAGAAAGTGGGAAGAATGAAGATAGAAGAGAGAGGAGGGAGAAGAGAGGGGGGGAATCTCAAACCCCAACACCCTTCCCCCCTCAGCCACTTCATGCTCAGCTAGGTCCTTCTTGGCCCTTCCAGCTGCGGTCAGACCCTCAGCCGGAACCCATTCACAGGCTATTTATCAGTACATGTGAATCCCAGTGAGTTTAAATCCCAGATAACCCTTTGAAGAAGTGGGCAAAGGAAGAGAGCTGGCAATTTTGCCATTGGTTTTTCCAAATCATTTTATTTTATTTTTCAGGAAACAGCTCTTGTCTTTGTTAAGGAGGGTGACTTTGGTTGTCTGACACAGCTTTTGTCTCCCGTGGAATTTGTTCGGCTTAAGCCGCTTGTGCTTCTTCTGGGCTGGCCCTACTGCTACAGTTGCGAGAATGCCAAGAATCTACTGGAGGCTCTCTGGAATCCTACTGTAAGATATGTTATTTGCATTGTTTTCACTTCCTGTCGGCCTTCACACAAATAATTTTCGAAAGTTACTAAGAGTTAAATATCAAACATGATCTACACCATACACTATATTTTTATTACAGCAGTTTCCAATTGAACATTGTAAAACCAAACCATTTAGTAATCAGCCTAGTCAATCGCAAAGGACACAGACAGCCCAATGAGCCAATCATTGTCAGTGACAGTGGTAAATATATGTAGCTGAAGCAAAGGGCGGGAAAATGTGTGCGAGCGAGTTGCGTGGTTTTGGTTTTACTCCTGATCGGATGAAAAAGTGGCGGGAATTTTTTGTGTTAATCAAGTAATATAGTAAGGGTTAGTAAGGTAACACTCAAGTAAAAGTCGATCTATGGTGTGATGATTAAAATCCTCGATTTAAATTTTGTTAAATTCAGGAGAAGGCTGCACACCCATCGCTGTATCAGGCCTGTCAGAAACTGGCTTATCAAGTTCAACTGGTTCAGTGGTGTACAGAGAAAGCTCGGTAAGAATAGCTAGTTTCAGGATTTCTAAGTTCAAGTATAAGTTGTAACATGAATCAAGAAGAGAGTTTGACATGCAGTACCAAAAACTGAAACAAAGAGTAAATGACTGAATCTCGATTTTTTTTTTTTCATCTTTGCCTTCGTACATGGACATGTAATTGGTAGCTTGCCACGGTAGTGCTAAAATACAATTGAATCGTTTCTCCGAAGCTGCTTCTTACACTCGTACGCCGTTTAGAAATAGCGTTCCCGATTTAGCACCCCAAGAACTGCAGGTTACACAAAGAAATCTCACCATTGTTGAATTTTTATTACAGTCCTCTACTTGCATCATCTGAATCAGGCTCGACACGCCATCAGCAAGCATCAGAAATGTTCCAAGGCCTTGAATCTCACTCGGTACTACACGTGTTGCACAAGTCTGTCAGTCTCGCTCATCTTCCCGAAAAGGAAGTCTTTGAACTTTTGAGGAAGCGGCCCGTATTTAGTCCTCTGGATGCCAATCAAACCACAAGCTGCCCAACAGAAGTCGAGGAGGAAAGATTAGATGAACCACAACAGGCTGAAGATGTTTCCAAAGAGAATGCGGAGAAAGGAGGACAAGATTCGGAAATTCATCCCGAAGTCCAGAGAGATATTTTTCTGTACCACAGTTATTGTGCTCTAAGGAATTTTATGGAAGCTATAACGTCGTCTGTAGAAGAGACCTCTGTGAACGATAGTTTGGAAACAGTAGGCGAATCTGCTGACGAACAGACTGCTAAAACTTTAGCGCCAGGGAGAAGTGAACGTGCGAATGGAAATCCAGGCATCGCTTCTCAGCAACGGTCGTCTTGTGGACAAGTAGCAAATAAGCTTAATGCTGGAAAGCAGCATTTGGCTCAGGTCTATCCTTTGACATACAGAGTTGAAATTCTGGAGAACATCTTTAGCCTCCTGTTTGGCACTTATGAGGATCTTTATGAAGGGAGAGTCCAGCAAAATGAAAGCGATGATCTTGAGACTATGGATGAAGAAACGAGGAGTTTGTCGAAGAGTAGTCGCACTGGAAGCTGGGAGAGCCTTGCTAGTTCCGTTGACTTGTCGTTTGATGGTGCAGTTCCACACAGCAGTGTAAAAGATCAGGAGAAAACTTCGAGTCCAGCTAGTGCAATGTCTCCAACTTCTGACGCTCAACAGAGGCACAAAGAAACCACTGCACCATTAGCTTTAGACTCCGTATCTCGCAGACAGCTCTTTAAAAATACCAAATCTGAATCGGACTCCGCGCTCTTGAAGAAGGTGATAAATGGAGAAGAAAGATCAGTTATTTTCAAGTCACAAGATGCGACTGAGCCGGTCAACACGAGACAATCAGAGAATGATTCGTTAAGCGGCAATCTTCATTCTAGTAAAGGGTCGTCGAGAGCTGCCCTGCCTGATGAGAACGATTTAAAATGTGAATTTGTAGTAGATGATGAAATTGTTCCAGATTTGTTGAAGACACTCAAGGAGTGTCTGATGGAGCTGAATACGGCAAAGTTCTCTGAACTCAAGAAAGGTTCGTTCTGGAAGTAATCATATCAAACACGCGAGACCGGGTTTTACCACATTTCCCAACACCGAGAAGAGAATTGAAAATACAACGCGAAGCGGAGTATTTTGACGAACTTTCAGATGTTTCGAAATGTGATAAGACACTGTCTCGAGTGCTTGATGTATCTTTTTAATCGAAACTGAAACTAAGTAGAAAACGGAGAAACAACATCGTAAGACTGAGCTCGGAGTTATCCAAACGCCGTCACGGTTATGATTTCCTTTGTGAAGGTTTGGCGAATTTTAATTGTTTAGCATCAGGATATTTTTGTAGTTTGACTTCGAAACGTAACTTTTTGCTCTGCCAGGATAGTATTTTTAATCCATGCTGTTGTTGCTCAGTTTAGCCCGAGTTGTATGTCAAATCAATGAAGTCTTATTCCCACAGTCAGTGTTAAGGAATTACGGTTGTTTCGCCCGAAAGTCATTTTGCCCGAATCCAGGTCGCCCGGACGGATAGTCGGTTGACCGGAATTTTAGCTCCGTGGTCAGTGGATCAAAGAACGAGAAATAGGCATTTTTTGTGTAATTTTGTTTCATTATGCCCACAATGTTGTCTTTTTTGCTCTTTTAGTTTAAAGAAAGAAAAGTTAACACATCCATTAAACTTTCAGTTCGCGCAAAAGGGACTTCCAGTCCGTGCGAACTAACATCGGGCGAAACCACCAGTTACCGTGTTAAGTGTTCATTATTGCAGTGCTTTTGATTTTCTTTCAGAAAAACCCGAGTCATTCTCAAAGCGCCAAGACTTCCTTCAGACCTCAGTGCTTCGCAACACCATGGAACAGCGCATTTCACGTCTGGGACAGTTCATCAATGAAGCTCAGTGGAGATTTCAGTTGGTGTCGTGGAATGACAGCACCAACAATCAGAAGATCAGGAACTCCAGGAGAAGACTGGCCAAGAAGATCCAACAGTTGGTACGTACAGATGCAAAGTGGAAGGCAGAGGAAGGTCAAGATGAAGGCTCAGATGATACACTGAAACACAGTTCAAGTGGTGAGGACTGTTTTTTTTTTTATCAATGTCAATTTTAGCGGACGAAATAACATATTGGTTAGTGAAATGCTATTTTAAACTGGTATAAGCCTTTAAAATTCCAACCGGGTGTTGACCCTACTTTGGCGACTACGGAAAGGAAGGAAAAAACATCTTTGAAATACAGTGTAGTTTTACGTTACGACTATGAAGTCACAGCTTCACTGGTCCCAACACCCATTTTTGCTCGTTAGGAACATGCTCGATTAATTGCGGACGTAAAATCTCGGGAAATCTCTTCAAATAAAACGGACCTCCCATGCTCAGATTAAAAAACGGTTTAGCCCAGTAAGTTGCTACTTCGTAAACTTGCAGGTAAAGCAAAAACATAGAATTCGAGAAGTTTGATCGACCTGGCAGTTAACCCCGGTATTTATCTTTTGGTGTGCTACATGTATGTTGCTAAGCTGTCATTTACGTATCATTCAAATGCCAACATAACGCGCTATGGATAGGTAAAATTGAATGCTTGTGAATGTGTGTTATCTTTTCAATTTTTTGGTAAAATGTCCATTTAGAAATGCCAAGAAAGCAGAGACGTAGAGCAACAGGATCTAAAGAAAACTCAGGAGAATCAAGCGCTCATCTTAGCCAGGAGGTATCCACAGGTAAAGGATAAGATTTGTAATCGGTGCAGTTATTCATAAGCTTTTACACTTTTGTCTCTAGTGAAAACAAGACTTTGTTGCGAATGCCAAGACTCAACAGGCCATTCTTCGCAAACTTCAGTCAGAAGATTCGTCTTCTCTCGCACTCTGACTGTGTACTTAGTGAAACCTAATTTGATTGGCTTTCAACCGGTTCTAAACATTTTCTTTGATCTCGGAACCACATGACACGCAAGCTTATATGTTTTGTTGATAAGTTGAATCAGGTATTCAGTCTGGTGCTAATTATCTGGTAATCATCGACTGAACTGATTGAAACTTTCAAGTGAGGACTTCCGATTTCTATTTTTCCTTGATGTCCCGAATGACGCAATCTAAAAAAGGGCATATTAAACTGTCAAAATTAAACTGCCACACGATTTGAATGGAACTTTCGTGACAACTTAGCATTCTCCTTGGTATTTTGTGTTTATGTAGGAACGGACGAGAACAGAGAAAGAACGCGGAAGAGGAAAAGTGAGAGACGCCGTCTTTCGTCACGGACTTCAGCATCAGAAGGAGCCAGCTCGCTGATCAAGGATGACAGCATCATAGCGCGCATGCTCTCCTCGCCTGACACGCTTATCTACATGTGTATGAGAAAGGACAACTACGAACGCGCCCTTCAAGTTATTAAAATGTTTAACATGGCTGAGAAGCCCAGTGCGCAAGCCGCAGTTTTTGCAGAGAAGTACGGTAAGGCGCTGAGAGATCTTGAGAGTTTGCAACCCAAAGTGAGGCGTCTTCCAACACAGGGCCTTTCTAAATCTCGTAAACCGCTAGGCGCCCTTGGAGCCGTTGCCATGGCAGCAGCCTCTGGTGCTAACACTTCAATGGTTTCTGATCTGATTGACAAGTTGTTGTCGATACCGTCTCTGTCGGCCGTGTTGAATCCCAGTCTCAGCTCAGAGGACTTGGCGAGTGGGAATTCAACACTGGTAAAGTTCCTGGATCCGCAAATGGTTCCAACAATGTTATGTGTGGATCTGGCGTGTACAGCGGCTGTATCGTGGTCTGTCTGTAAGACCTTGCTGGAGATGGCGAAAAGTCGCATAATAGGAGGTAAGAAGAGTCTCATACAACAAGTGTATTATATTAAGATATAAAAGGTTGTCCTTTTCAATGAGAAACCATAACAAATAATTTGTGGTATTCAAATTGAGTCCTGTTTTCGCCATCAGCATTATTGTTTGAGAGCGCAATATTTTCTTTAATATTTTTTTTAGCCTGCCTCTCCTTCGGTGATTCTGAGGTGAAAACAGGTGGCAAAGCCGACTAGTGAAAAGAAATCTCTCTTTGCTGACGCCCCCTAACCTCAAGAAATGATGAGAATGCAGATTCCGCAACCAAAAATTCCATTCCGATTAGCTAGACAGAGATCCGTGTAGTTTCTCTTGATTGGTTGTTACTGTTGAGCTACGTCACCACTATGGACTTTTTCGGTTCCAGTCTCAGACGTTTCCTTTCTTGGAAGAGAAGTGAGCACTCCAAGAGAGAGGGACATTTATTCATCACATTTGACTGAGCTAGCCTGTTGACTGTGCAATGTTCTTTTGCCTTCTAGATCCCTCATCTTCTTCCAGCAAATCATCTGGTCTTCTGCCCGGTGTAAAGCCATTTATGAACCAACTAGAGGAGCTTCTTAATCAGGAAGAGTCACGTGGTAGAGCCCAGGCCCCAACTGGTGGTATCACGATCTCTGTCACTCCGAAGCCTAATGCTTTAGAGGTTCTTCTCGTGGGAACCCACCCTATTCGTCCTAAGGACATGGAGGCACACAAAAAACTTATCGCTAGTCAAGAGGAGGCATTCAAGTAAGTCTTATTGCAGAAACTTATCGCGGATACAGTGCATTAAAGAGTTATTTTATAATCTAAGTTCTTAGGTCGTGTTCTGCTGCCATAAACGGTTTCATCCGCAAATGGTTTTGTTGAACAGGTCGAGGTGCCCGAAAAGAACACTTGTCGAACTTTTAATGCAGCGCGTTTTACGTGGATCCACCGTTTTCGGCTGTTTTGATTGGCTGGGTTGTTTCACGAAGAAAAACTGTTCTTTCCCATCCTTCTAACAGAAAGTGGTTGGGGTATGCTCTTATTTGAGAAGTTCAACCAAATTAACCATTTAAACAGCGTCTGATGCCGTTGTAAAAGTTGCATCAGCTAAACGAACGGACAGCGATCGATCACAAAATAACACGGCAGAAAAAGATGACCAGAGGAGAACCATGGTGATTTTTTCAGTTATTCTCCCAACCATTTCTGTAAGAAAGGAGTCAAGAGCACGAGGGAGAACTTGCATTTTGCGCTTTTTTTCTTGCAGACGATTTGAGCAGGCGTTAGAGGATGGCGACCCGCTGATTCGCAGTGTGGATGAGGTTTCTAAACAAATCGCAGGCCACAAACATCTTGGCAGGCAAATCTCGTTCAACCTGATGGAGAAGAGCCTGGCGGTGAGAGTCGCAATGATCGAGTTGCAGAAAGCGTTTGATTGCGTCGAGGGGGCTAGTCACGTGACCACAGCTGTTGGAGGAGGACTGGAGCAGAGATATGACTACATGAAAAGTTTGTTTAAACACGTCGATGCTTTGGCGACGCTGCTGTTGTTTTGGCAGCAGGCAAAGGCAGCAGGTATGTTAAAACTTGCATTTCTTTTTAGAGAGCCGGGAAGCGCTTTTCGAAGACCTTGTCGTAAAACCCGGCAAATGTGTATTTGAATGAAAAGTGCCTTTAGAATGTCTTGACAATCATCATTTAGTGGTGTTCAGAGGTACGCGGTTGAACGCGTGGTATACTTTGTATTAAATGCACTCATTTGTCCATGACATACGAAGTCGGTTCTCACTCTTGTCTCTAAACCTGATTCATGTTTCATTTTCCAGATTCTGCGTCTAACGTTCCTACTGATATAGACCTGAATCGTCCCAGTGCGCTCAAAGTGTCCAATCCATTTGTCGTGTTAAATGAAGGCATTGCAGAAACTCTTGGAAAGCCTATGTTTGAAAAGAACATTGCTCCAAAAAGGTAACGTGAGAGATTCAGCCTTAGTTTGAAGTGAGGCAACTTCTAAGCAAAGTTGGAAAAGAGTGGGTAGTCAGTCATTACACTTGCGCTTGCTAATGATTTAAGATTTTAGATTTTAAAAAAGTTATAACATGCAAATGAATATATGAAAGATCATAATGTACGATCTTTCATATATTCACTTGTATCTTCACCATCTACGTGTATATTCGAACTCACAACGCGACCAGCTCCCAGTTGGCGTGATAGTTCAGTTGGTAGAGCACCGCGCCGGTATCGTAGAGATCATGGGTTCGAATCCCGTTCAGGCCTGATTTTTTTTCAAGCTTAATTTTCACAGCTGCTTAAGTTGTGAACATAACTGCGATGATCAATCGTGTCTTTGCAGTACGGTAGTGAATGTTTGTAAATATTTAGCAGCAAAAATCTAGTGTAGAAGCTAAGCGCAGAGTGGAGTAAGAACGGGTTTAAAAGTCAAGAGAGAATGACGGGTGATAGAGTTAATTTCTCATACACGCCTTATAACAAGGCAACTACTCTCAGGTTATTTTTGAGACATGGTGCTCAGTTCTTGCGCAGATAATGTTACCACACGTGGGCCCACGCGCGTTGTGTGGATGTTTTCGTGGAGGATGGACACGCGTGTGTAAGGCCGTCAGGGCTCTCCACGTGAGCAAATCCGCGTCACATGATTGGTTATGTCTAGACCCTCCTGGGATTTCCAATCCAATTCGACCAGGATAGAGGACCTGCATGAAAACCAGCTAAGGCTGACGTGGCTTCCTCTCTAAATATTGTAATTTCCGAAACCGGAAGTGATCTAAAAGTAGGGCCGACCAACATCGTTTACAACGTTCTTTATAATGGGCCAAACGAAACAACAGGTGAAGAACACAAACAATGCTCCCAGCCCTTAGAACAAATGAGGTGCAGATTAACAAGAACGAAACAAAATAGAGGTTTTAAAGTGGTGCAGATCAACTGTTGAAAATAACTAATAACGCCTGCATGGGAGAAAAACATTCTCTCTCTTCAATGTACAAAGTGGAACCTCGATATAACGAAGGACCAAGAGACTGGCAGAATTTGTTCGCTAAAATGAGGTTGTCATATCGGGGTTCTTTTCCATGTATTATATTTTACTATTACTGGAGCAACGAATATCGTTCATTGTATCGAGAACTTCGTTATAAAGAGGCTTGTTAAACCGAGGTTCCTTTGTACAGAAAAACACGAGCTACTATGCGATAATATTGGGTCGCACACGTTCCCTAAATGTTCCACGTTTTTGTGTGAGGCAATAGGTACGTTTTTTTCTTTCAGTTGCGAACGCGAAAAACCTTGTTTTGTTTATATTCAAGCTAACAAAGGTGTACTTCTTTTATCAGTTTAGAGGCTGTGGCAAAGAAGCTGCATGTCAACCTCTCGAAGGTCATCGTGTACAACTGCTGTCCTGCGGTGTCTTCACTGGGTGGGATCTCTCGTCGAGGTACGACAAACCATCCCCCAACCCACCCCTATCTGACATGATACACACCAACCTCCCTCCCAGGATCTCTCATCTTCCCACCCTCCCGGAGCGAGAAGGGAGGGCAGGAAGATGAGGGACCCTGGGAACGAGTTTGGAAACACACTCGTGCACAAACACGTGCTTTCAAACTCAAACTATGGACAAACAAGTGCGCAATTTAACGCAAATAACCGCGTTTTGTTAAACTTTTTGGAGTCTGTATGCTGATCCAAATTGTGCGTTTAGTTCCAAACTGAATGAATGGGTCTCCGTTTTGTTGAAGAACAACATATGCTTATATGAAGATGTTCTGTTTTTGACAGATGTCCGCTGGCCGTCTTCTAATCCGGTTATTCTGAATACTGGAAGCCGCTGGACAGATAGCGTTCGAGATCCCAACACTGTCGCCAGGGATTTGTTGTCCAGAATGGTTGAACTACTCAAAGGTATCTTGCATTTGACTGACCAAGAGAAAAGTGAATACCCTTTACACATGTCATGACAATTCGGTTGAACGCGAGAGTCGCTGAGCAAAGCTTAAGTGACAGTAAAAAAAAGTTTTCGCCAAGTGATTTAAATTGCAAAGTACATTTAGTTCATTTCAAAGATTTCTACAAGAGTGCACGTCAGAGCTTAGCGATGACATAAATCACCCTTTTTAGTTTGTTCGTTCCCTTACATCATACATAAATATTTCAAACCAGATGAACGTTTGTTTACCTTTGTGATGTATGCGTTATTGGTATGATTTGGAACCAAAGAAATCAAACAGATGTTTTTGTTTAAAGCCAAAACAAATAACCACAGCTTGTTTACCATACCACCTATAGGAGGGAAACTTGCAATATTATGCATGAAAACTACCGATTTGTACCACCACCGTTAATGGAGGGGAATGCTTATGAAACCCGATAAAATTCTTTTATTATATGATCAGTTTTTGTCTGTGCAAAAAACACAATAACTGTTTACTTAGAAACAATTTGGCTATGTAATTCATTCATGACGTGTAAGCATAGAACAATGGACCGTCCATGTTAAATCTCGACATCTTCGCTTGTTCCTTTAAAGTTTGCCGTGCTTCATAATCCCTATCCTGTATTAACTATGAAAAGGGTTCTAAGGGAAGGACCATTATTTTTTTGAGGGGTGGTGGGGGGGTTGGGGGTTGGGCAATTTCCGAATGAAAATTCCAGCACAGCAAAAATTGCTAAAAAAAAAAATGGTTCAAGGGGAGCCATGGAGAAAAAAAATACTATCCTGGTCCTGTGTTTTTCGTTTTGAAAAAAAATAATTGCACAAGCTAGTGCCCAGCAAAAAAAGTAAAGCACGACCTAAAGGTGAGAAAAAAAATGTCATGCCCCTGAAAATTGCCCAACCCCCCAGTGCCCGCTCAAAAAATAATGGTCTGTCCCTAATGTTTTGTTATTTCTTTCAGATGTGGCCAAGTCTCAGGGCGGTATCGTTGATTCAAAGACGGTGGCTAATGTCACCAGGAGAGACGAATTCGTGGCTCTCGCGCGGGGTACTGGTGAACTTCAGAGCGTCAACCTTGACTCGCTGAGCTCGGACGCGGCTAAGGTATGCTTCTACGTCAATACCCTCAATCTTCTGATTGCGCATGCGTCACTGCTTCAGTTTGCGGACGGCTCTGGAGAGGAGATGAGCGAAGTGGAATGTCACATTTCCCGGCATGCTTCATTTACCCGGCTCATGGATGCACTGTCAAGCTCTGGAGGGGAGGGGAGAAGTGGAGATTCAGTTCCCTTGACCGCCCTAGAGAGGATTGCGTTTCTCAAGCAGCACTGTTACTGTATCGGTCAGCTGGGCATAGTCAGGTGAGAATGACACACTCCGAAGCTACAGCGGTCAAACATACGTCGTGTTTAGTTCCCGCCAAAACTACCGCTGGTAAACGTCACAAGCTTTTAAAATCCTCCCTTTCCAAGCCAAAAGATAAGACAGTTGCTGACCAAAAGTAGCTTTGGACTCCGTATACGCATGGAAAATTGGCTATCATAATTCTTCAATAACTGTTGATTGTTAGTTCCAAGAAAGCTTCCTTATTTCTACCTAAGTAACAATTCATCGATCGTATGAACTAACCTACTGTTTGTATGAAGACATCAATGACCAACAACTTTAGCAGTTGTGAAATTAAAGCCTGAAAAAATTCAGACTTGAGCGGGACTTTAACCCATTACCTCTGCGATACCGGTGCAGTGCTCTACCAACTGAGCTATCGAGCCAACTGGGAGCTAGTCACTTTGCGAGTTCGTAATGTACCCGTAGATGGTGAAGATGCAAGTGAATATATGAAAGATCATATATTTGAACTGCGGAGAAAGAGATTTTTTTCAGGCTTTAATTTCACAGCTGGCTAAGTTGTGTGTATAACTGCGATGATCAATTATGTCTTCATATCTTCCTCCGTAGTTCAAATATGATCTTTCATATATTCACTTGTATCTACTGTTTGTATGTTCATTGACAGTGCGTTCGACCTGCAGTTCGTTATTTTACACAAAGGTCTGGTGCCGCCGAGTACATTTGGAGAGGGAGTGATTATGTGTTTTCCAGGTAATATAATGTTGTGATAACAAAGCAGTGAGGTGTCGGGATTAACTTCAACTAACCTCAATGGGGTTTTTTCTTTTGCACGAAGTAACAGATCTGTGCCTTTCAGGAAGTCTCTCACACATTTTGCCGCCACACAGTACTTTCATCACTGTTATCCCTTTCAGGGCCGTATCCAGAAAAACAATTATGACTAAGGGAATGTCAATTTTTTGTTTGTACATTTATTTGCTAGCAATTTTCCACTTTCCCACTTTCCCACTTAAAGAAATGACGAAGGTAAGGGCCACAGTTTGCCTATTACTAGCTACGGTCCTGCCTCCATGCACGGATCAAAGGAAATATCTTATACAGTGATCTTTAAAAGTACTTGTTGAACCCGAAGTAAATCGAAACTAACTGTTATTGCCGCCATTTCGATATATGTTTTAATATAATTCAAAATTGAGGGAGAGGTGAGCAATGAGTTGGCAACCGCCTTCAATTAGCTTCGTTAACAGAACATCACTAAGGGACACAGATGGAATTCGTACTAACGAGGAGTTCATGAACAAAATGGTTTATTTTCCACCAAAACTCTTAAAGGAGCTACATCACGGTTTCGCATCTTGAAAAATTCAGCCTAAATTTGTTAAGTTCGCCGTTTGTAATCCGTATTAATCTTCTCCGTCCTTAACCATCCTTGCTTCGTTATGATTTATTATAATCTCTTTGGTGTTTTTCTATCTTCGTGAACTATTACTTTCATGTTTCCTTCAGTTTAAAGGTAATTTTGTCCATGGCCAAAATAGCTCAAAATGCTCCTGTAAGCTAACGCGTCATAAAACCGCCCGTAATAAGGAGGCGTCTTATTCAGCTCGTGTTAAGCGGGTGCTGCGATAAGTTGGGGTTCCACTCTTACCGCTGTTTCTTGTCCATTTTATTCTTTTACAACTTCATAAACACAGGGCTGCCACGGGTCAGGAAATGGGCAGGGAAAAAATATTTGTTGAAAAATCATGTCTTAACGAATAGGTGGAAAGGACGGCTCAAAGGGGAGGCTAGAAACCGCCACTATATCTGATGTTTCTTACTTCTTTGGTCTGGGAAATTATATTTTTATCAGGAAAAAGACAGGGAATGGGATGTCTGTGGCACCATGTGACAGAGTCTTTTCCACTTGTAACTTTCAGAACGATATGCTGATGACGACAAGAGAAGGTTCAAGCTCGCCACTTCTGAGAAGCGAATTATTTTTGCAATCTGTGACGGCTGTGTGTCTTCCCCTCAGCTTCAGGTAAATTTTTAAATTCGGGTTCGTTTTCTTTCAACATACGCTGCAGTAATTTCTAATCAATTTCGAGTTCCTAACGGTTCCAAAGTTAACATAATTTATGAACAGTAGGCCTGAATAGATGGAACAGAAAATGGCGCGGGTGTTGAGCACGTTAGTGGCTCGCCACCGGATCGAGCGGTCCAGGTTCGAGCCCTGGTCTGGGACATTGAGCTTTGTTTATAGACAAGACACTTTACTCTCACAGTGCTTCTCTCCACTCAGGAGTATAAATGGGTACCGGCGAATTTAATGCTGGGGGTAACCCTGCGATGGACTATCATTCCATCCAGGGGGAAGTAGAAATACTCCTAGTCGCTTTTTGCTACAGAAACCGGGATAAGCTCCCGCCTGATGGGCCACTTGGCTCGTATGCATACTTAACCTTACTTTCTTATTTAAGCAACATTTCACAATAGATAATCATGATGCATTTCTATTTTAAGCCAGTGGTTTATTTGCAGGTGTTTGACGTAGATGAACTGGACGCGCAGCTCTCCACCGCTGTAGTTTCTTACTTAAATTCCCGGGTATCATTGAACCAGCAAACTGGACAGATAAACCTGCCTGAGATCCTTCACTGGTACAGGAAGGACTTTGAAATAAGACCACTAGATCCACCCGGACCCGATTCTCCTAAAGAACCTGATGTTTCTCTTCTGCTACAGCTGGAGCCGTATCTTTATCCCGATACCGCCGCAGTGCTTCAACAAATGCTTCCCAACATCACAGAAATCGCATTTACACCATTTTGTTGGACCTTTGGTTACAGGTTTGAGTCTGCGATGCTCGAGCGGTCTTCCTCGGCCTCAGTCTTCCAGCGGTCCAACTCTGTCCCGGACAGTCTTCTCAGCATGGAGTTGTCTGTTCTGGCGCGGTCAAGGAGGGTTGAGAAAAGAGGACTATTCAGCTTGAACGACGTAACTTTGGAGTATTTAGAGGAAAAGTCACCGTTGATTGCTGCTTTGGCGAGCTTGGTGTGCTCCGCACCCGTGAAAATGCAGACTTCCGAAGAAGTCATTGCACAAACCTCAAGCGAAAATTGTGAACCTGTGGACGAAACAATCGAGCTTCCCTTCAAAGTTGCTTTGGAAAAAACTGCGAAATTTCCAGTTCTTCAGAGGTACATTGTTTGCAAGCTCTACATGATAGCAGAAATGTTGACTCCAGCGGAGTTAGAAGAAGCCGGCGGCAGTTGTGGCAGTTATGACCTCATTAAGCTCGATTCAAACCTTCAGATCTTACAAGGAGGGACCCACCCGCCGGAAATCTCGCTGTTTTCCGTGTCTTTGGCCCCTGAAGGCAGTCGGTCGCTACAGAATGCTTTTCTCAGGGCCAGTGACTTTTTCTTGCGCAAAGGTTATTTTGAAGAACTCTTGGAGTTAATCAGTTCGTCCAATCTTCGCGGGGATGGAGTCGGAGGCCCTGCCATCGACTTTTTGTTGAGCTCCGCTATTCTGAGCAAAGGAGGAACGAGATCTGAGCTACGCGAGACACTGAAAACAGTTTATCATCAGTTGAAGATTCCAGAATTAAAGTTAAATCACGTAGTACAAAAGAAACCTTGGGCTCTTCTACCTCGGATCAAAGATTACCATCAGTTGACGCGTTTAGTGATGAGAAAACTGAAGGAGTGGAACGCTAAGACCTGTATTGACTTAATCGACCTGTGTCTGTCACGTCCCACCAAAAACACTGTCTTGACAAAAGACTTGGAGAGGAAGAGAAAGGAGATATCCTTGTATCAAAAGGTAGCAATCATAATTTCCTCCTTGAATTTGTTTTGTTGCCAGTGCTTTCCTTCTCAAGCCTCACAATCAGGAGTATACTTGCTTTCAATATGTTTAGTGTTGCTTTCATTGTCTACAGGCCTATAGCATTCGCTACTCTGTTCCATTGCCTCTCTTGGTCACTGTTTTCTTGTCCGTCTTTCTGTGTGTCTGTCCGTCATTCTGTTTGCAAGTCTGTCTATCTGTCTTTCTGTCTGTCTGTCTGTCTATCTGACTGACTGAGTGAGATACTGTTCGTTTGTTCCTTTGTCCATCCGTCCGTCCGTCCGTCCCTGTCCGTATTCCCTGTCCTTATGGCCGCCCTCCAATCTTTCCATTCGTCAGTCCGTCTGTCTGCGTCCCTGCGTGTCTGTCTGTCTGTCTGTCTTTCTGTTTGTCTGTCTGTCCATCCTGCTGTTCCCTCTCTGCTTGCTTGTCCGTCCGTCTGGTCGTCTGTCTGCACGTCTGCCTTTCATACCTTCATTTTGGTAGGTGCATATTTAGTAGCAAAAGAGTTTTGCGAAGACTCAAAAACATGACGGCACTTCTCAAATATTTCATTTCCCAGATTTCTCGGTGTGCCAAGTCCCCTCAGTTTCAAGCCACCCAGCAGGAACAAAAACAGCAGCATTCCTTGTTAAGTCTCAAACAGTGGCAAGGTGTGGCAGTCATGTCCGAGGAAGAACCGCGAAATGTTATGGAGTTTTTGTTGTCTGTTCAACAGTTTGATCTCGCTGTGGACTGGGCTGAGCTTCACAATCTTCCTGGTCATTTTCACAAGGTAAGTTAAGTTATCAGCGAGGGTGCATCTCTAGTCCAAACCAGCCGCTTTAATATCGACACCTCCTTATTACTGCAATGTTTTGGTCCTCAGCTTTTATACTTGTATATGTGATAAGAGTACGTGCTGTCTGTCCAGTTTAGATATACTAAATTGAATAAGAAAAATTCAGAGGAGTGGGAAGAGGGGAGTTGAATTTGAATTTGAGTTGAATTTGGCCGTCAGAGATACTTTTTTAACTCAATTATTTGCAGTCTGGACTAGGCTGTGGTCAAATTACCTGAAATAATCTTGCGCGCATGATTTAATTCGGACGGGTTGCAAAATTAGCAAACAATCACGCGCTTGATACGGAGAGCTTGTTAACAATGTCTGTATAAACAGGATTTGACTGTTGTCAGTGTCTGACTTGTTAGATGGATTTCGGGTCACACTTAATTATCTGGGTAATAGACAAAGTGGCGCACAACAAGGAATGCATAGATGCAAACTTACACGAAATTAGTGTAAATTCACTGGCGTTCTGTCACGAATGCCGTTCTCTGATTGGTTACGCTACTCACTATCGATAGAAATTGAATGAGCATGTTTATTCCTTTTCTCTTGTTTGTTCCTCTAGGCCTCACTATGGAGCTAAATTTCAACATATTCAAAGTAGCCTATTGTTGCTAGCTTATCAACTCCAAACACGCGAGGCTTTGTAGTGTTGGTGAATAACTACAGTTGGACCTCGTTAATTCGGAACTCGGATATTTTGAATTTCCCGTTTTATCGAACTTAAAAAAACATTTCCTTTGGATTTGTTCTTCTGACATTTACTATCTGCTATTTCTCGCTATTTCGAACTATTTTCTGTTTCCTCTGAGTGTTCGAAATAGCGAGGTTCAACTGTACTTGGTTATACAGTGAAACCTGTATTTAGCGGACACCCTTGGGACCCTCATTAGGGTCCGCTTAATACAGGGTGTCCGCTCTAAACAGTTCAAATGTATTGTGCAATAATAGTTAATTATTAACCCTTTTGTAACACAGTGTAACACTGTGAGCTCAAAGACTGCTCGTAACGCAATGTCCAATCAGTCAATGCCTCAATCTGGAATAATCACTTAGCTTTAAAACGAAATCGCTGAACAATGTTAAAGGAGTCTCAGCTGAACCTTTAGAGGTAAAATGCCCTTGAAGTGTCCGCTTATTGTAGGTTTTGTGCAAAAAAATGGCTTAATATTGGTGTCCGCGTCCGCTTAACAGAGATGTCCGCTGAATGCAGGTTTATTTTACAGTCTGTGGAAGAAAATTTTGGGAATTTTGGGTATCCGCTTAATATGGGGTCCGTTTAATACAAGTTTTATTGTAACTCGACTGTTATCACTTGCTGTTTTCTTGAAACAGACCATCAAAGAAAGTCAACTAAAGCACCTGCTTGCCGAGAGCGCAGAGGATCACATGAAGGCTTACAGGATCTTAGAGGGGCTTCAAGACCATGAAATGTCTCTTGGCATCTGCGAGTCTCTTCTATCTCAGAACCTTCACGTCGGTCAAACATTGTTTATAATTCAATTCATGCTCACCAACCTCCCCTCCCTGCTGTCTCCAATCCGTATAGAGAAGTTACTGTGCACCAAGATGGGCGCCAAAGCACTACTGTGCTTACCAGACCCCGCGCGGCCGCATTATGAGCACCTTGTCTCCAGGCCTCCCCTCTTGCTAGAGCAGCTTCTCATGAATATGAAGGTTGAGTGGGCCGCTAAAGTCTTTCAGCGCATCCAGGTATGGCGAATAGGTTAAAGGTTACAGTGTTTTCTATTATCTGAAGCCCTAGGGAGGGAGGGTGGGGGGGGAGTGGGTGAGTCAATGAGGTCCCCAACTTCACGTTTCAAGAACTAGTTGTTGGGACTATTTTTGCTCCCTTAATGTGTTGTGGCTTCTTCTAACATTTCTGCATGTTAGCCTGGCACTGAAAAGTAAATACCTTTTGATAGACCAGTACAAAATGACCTCGCCGGGGATAGAACCTGGATGGCTCCTTCCATTAGGGTACTTCGTCCATTCTTGTTCTACATGTCTTTGTGCTGTTCACAGGTTGATGTGAGCTGCATGGAAGATGTTGAGAGCCTTGGTGATCACGGATGCACAGTGAAGGCGTTTGATGAATTGTTGACTACGTATTCCTCTAAGGCGCTGGAGTTTCAAGTTGTGCAAATGGAGCGAAGTCAAACAAAGGGTGAGTAATGATCAAAGAAAAGGAGTTTAAAAAAGACCTAAAGAGTTACCGTGAAGGAAGTTGTATAATTATATAGGTATATGTATATAAAAAGAAAATTGTTTGTAAAGTACAAGAGCGAGTAAAGGAATAAACGAATATATAATAGTTCAGATAACCCTCTAGCAGGCGCTAGCCAGAGAAATGTTTTAGCTTGATGGTTTTATGAGCGAGGTTTTTATCAAATTTGTTTTTTAATAGGTAGACCAGTGGAAACACATTTCAGAGTTTTTCCTGAAGTATCCGTTTTCTTCTCAACCAAAACGAAGCAAAATATTTTCGCCGACGCTAACGTTTTCGTTTCCTCTACCTGTCCACACTGATGCGTCTGCATTCGTAAACGCATAGCTTTTGATACGTTATCGCCTATCGTCCATACGAAAATGCCCGAAAACGCTGATGCAAGCGAGAGCATATGACGCGTTTTTCGTCATCGTTTTCAAAAGCCTTCGTTTTCACCTGTCCACTTTAGAAACGGAGCGTTTTCGAAACGATGCGTTTTCAGCATTTTCGAGCGTTTCAGTACGTGTGGAACCATAAAAAAGCATGCGTTTTCAAAGAAAAACGCATTAATTAGCAAGTTAATAAAGTTAAACGTTTTTAGCCCACAAGATTACTCAATTAAGTCGAAAACCTTTGGCTTGAGGTATATTATTCCTTTTTAGCCTTGTAAATACATCTTACAACTAATTCACACATTATGGACAATCAGATGAATTTGGTAACATAGCTTCTATCCTTGACAGAACTTTGCAGCAGCATCATGCAGAGTCTGATCCAGACCCCCTCTTCCTCGCCTACGTCTTCCATGACCACCATGCCTGGTCGAATAACGCCCATTCCGGAGTCTGGGCGCTACACGCCTGTAACTTCGACACCAGTGAAGGAAAGAGGAGCGCGGGAATCTACGGCCGGGAGCCTGGAAAGGAAAGTTCAAACCTTTCCACGAAGAAAAATTTCTCTTGACTCGCGATTGCCGACTATGGAAAAAGAGAAGAAAACCCAGAGACCAACTACGCCCTCGTCTACCACCGGGAGCTTGGGTACAAAGAAGACCGCGGTTCAAGGTGGTCAGCAGCTGTATATTCCGCCAGTCCTGCCACCAAAGAAGGAGAACTGGATGCCAGACCAACAAGTATCAATATGTGTCATCTGTCATGAAAAGTTTAGCATGGTAAGTTATAGCAACAGATTTCGATATTGTTCAAAGAGGAGTGAGGAGGGCATGGGGTGAAATGAACATGGGCTTTTTCTCGTTCAAAAAGGGTATGCAGTGAGTGGCCCGAAGCCCCAACCCCCTCCCCCGTGAATTTTTATTGAGTTCTCTAACGATGCCAATACTGGTATAGTGTTTGTCAGAAAATAGGTGAGACACTGTCTCAAAATAGTGACTATTTTTTTTTTGTAGAATGATGCGAACTGCGGAAACAAATCTTCATGTCAAATCTTCATGTTAATATATTTTCGATAGAATAAAAGGTATTGCTAATGGGGGTATAAAGAGTAGACATGATGTCAGTGATTTGACTCGAAAATATCCATTCTGATTACGTAGTCACTCACTGGATCTACAGAGATCCGAGTCGTGCCTCTGATTGTTGTTTCTCGGTTTTGAATTTTCCCGCACAAGTAGCAACCAATCACACGGATCTTTGTAGACTACGTCATCGTAGAATTTGTTGGGTCTAACGTTAGACGTCGCTTGAGGAGGGGATCAAATGAGAGCACGAAGGAAATACGAAAACATGAATTTTGTTTTCTTCCTTGTTTCAGTTCAATCGCCGACATCACTGCAGGCGCTGTGGGCGAGTTGTATGCGGGACGTGTTCCCAGCATAACTACCTTGTCCCGGGGTACGGGAAGTATCCCGTTCGCGTGTGCGATACTTGTTTTGAATACTTCTACACAAACTGGTAAGTCAACTAAGATCAAAACAATTACATTAGAAGTGTTCACATAATTATCTTCATTACTTCGAATTGCCACCAGTTTAGAGAACCAACGACCTGCTCACGTTGCCTCTTAACTCAGTGGATAGAGCATTGGTGATGTAATCCGGAGGTTAGGGATTCAAACTACATTTCCTTTGTATGGTTAAAACTCACAAGAAAACTCCTGTAGTCTAGCCCAGAAAGGCCTCCAGCAATTTTCTCGCAATAATACGCTCCTGCGTGGAGGAGTAATTATTTACAAGTGATATAAACCGCAAGTCAATGGCAGCAAGCAATTCTAGATCTAAGGAAAACCTAAACAATTGAATTTTAGGAGCGAGGACTCCCTTAGCTTTACAGCTTAGCTTCATGAGAAAGTACTTCCTTTGTTATAGTTTGGACATTTTTCATTGTCTGTGCTTAAGGTCTCGTCCACTTCGTGAGGATTTAACCGCATCCATTCGCTCAGAACCAAATTCTTTGGAGAAGAGACGCAGCTCCCAAGGTAAGGCGTTAGAGGCTATGTTACACAGGTGTAGGCAATGACCGACTGGTTATAGAATTAACTGAGACGTCACGGCTTAAAACTGTAGAACAACTCAAAACAAGCACAGAAAAAGAAAAAGAGGCATGGATGGGCAAAACTGGAGAAGATTAACACGGATTGCATTAGGGTAAACTTGAAAAGCATCGGTGCTGTTTTTCATATTTATCTCAATTTGTTTGGAAGTGTCATTATCAACGATCGGAAATCATCTTGGTTTGTTGTGTGGCCGTGATCTTGCCAGTAAAAGACTTGCTCTACCAATTTGGCCTCGTAATTGACGAAAATCAACAGAATTACCTAAAATACCGTGACCTATCCCTTCTTATTATGACTAAGTTATTTTTCCGCTTACGAGTATAGGTAAATTTCTTGTCAGTTCAATTTCATTAGTCGACAATCATTAACATGTATAAAATACCACGGCGTCGTCTCAAAGTTAGCTAAACTTCCAGCTAACGACTGTGGCGTGTGCAAGTATCGGGTCACATGTCAAAGCATTGCGTTACATTTCTGCCGTGACGTTCCACGCGTTATGATCCAGCGATAATTTTCTTTTTGTTTGCTGTTTTTTTTCATAACAGGACTTGCAGAGAACACAGAATCCAGTGGAACAAGTAGTATCATAGGTGGCAGTTATCTGGAGAGAACACCGTCCACTGAGTGGCTCACTGAAGACATGAATGCACGTTGTCTGTGGAAACTGAGTTTGGATGAAGAAAATAACTCCTTACTTAGAGATGAATTCTTCTATGAACAGGTAAAATATGTCATGACGTTATCGTTTTTGCTAGCAGCATTAACTGGCGACTGAAAACAGATATAACCAAGAGGTGTAAATGCGTGCAGGCGAATTGTAAGAGCAAACTGTCCCAATTTTTCTGGGGTAGCCTGTGCAGCTTACAATTGCAATAAGTATCTTTTGCTTGATAATGAGCTGAATGAGGAATTTCTTGAGTGACGACGCCATGATTACCTTTCCAGGCCCCAAGTGCTTCCCTGTGCGTGTCCATTTTGGACCTTCACAGTGACGTCAAGGCCTGTGGCATGCTGATTCTGGACCTGTGTAACTCGCTCTCTCAAAAGTTGGTCTCAGTGGCCCCTGGTGTCAGAAATGAGGAGCTGGACCATAACCTGCTTATAAGGTCAGTGACTACTTGGCATTAGAGGCTGAATTTTGCTCAAATAAAGAGAAGAAGTCATAACAGTAAATAGTCACTGGACAGGACATTTAGGTTCTTGTTACCTGAGTGGCTATTTTTTATTCCATCTTTCTGTGAGTTTCTCTGGTTAGATTCAAGAATGACATTCTCACAGCTAATTCAATGTATCGTTTGTTGCTTATTCACAATTTTTAAAAAAAGGTTGGAAAAAGATAAGCTTTATCGAAACATTTTGATTGCAGTCGACTTTTTTAGTCTCAAGATCTGCGTCATATTCTCCTAACAACCTTTCACAAAGCCTTTTTACTAGAATTAAGTTTCTATTCAGTCAAGACGTTCCTCGTTGCCTTTCTTCTCCTGACCTAGAGATGATCAACTCCCGGGATTCAGGGATTAAATTCATAAACACTAGCCTGGTCATAATTTGTTGTTGTTGTTTTTGTTGTTGTTGTTGTTGATGATGTCCATTTCATCACCAGTATGATCCGCTATCTGTTGTTCAACGCTAAACTCAAGATGATGAAGGCTGGAGAGACACAAGGCGTGGAGCTTTGCGATACGTATGTACAGTTTATGATCTTATCGTCTGCTTCATTGTTTAAGAAATTAAAAACGTTTCTATCCATAACGTGTAGCTTTTAGCTATGGAGGCTCCCTCCATAGCTTTAAGTGTAGCGTCTTTGATTGGCTGTTGCTCGATTTTGAATTTTCCCCGCGCAATTAACAACCAATCAGAGACGAAAAGGAGTCCCCACAAGCTGCAAGCTTAATTACTTATCGTGTTTAAATAAAGGTTACTTACTTACTTACTTAGTTACGTCATCGGTATGGAATGTTTCGGGTCCAGACTCATGCGGGGGAAGAATTAGGCACGAGAAGGTGGGGGTCAATCTCATTCCTAGATCCCTTATCGTCCACAAGGGAGCTGGAAACCAGATTAGGTAGACCTCTTTGTTGTCAAGGTAAGCTCCAAGCAAACCCAGCAATTACCGAGTATACAGTGATTTTGAGCTGGGATCTCTCGTCTGCATGTAATAAGCTGAAAACGAGGCCAGACTAACTGTTTAGCCATTGTTAACATACCTCTTCATTTTCGTTTCGTTGATATAGGTACCTTGGTCATGTGGATCTAATGAAGTTTCTAGTAGAGTCGAACTGTGGAGACATCCCTTCACTTCGCGACCTCATGCACCCCGACTCTGCAAGGTACGATGGGGGAGGGGAGGGTCCGTTTCACCTTGACTCTGCAGGGTATGCCATCGAGGAAGGGAGCGTGGGAGAGGAGGTGCCATAGACCATGATGCTGCAAGATAAAGGACGGAGGAGGACGGAAAGTTTTGTTCTGTCTAGTTACGTGTCAGAGATTTTGTAACAAGGTTGCGTTTGGAAAGAGTATTTTTTATTTGGTCATTGCTTTTGTTTATCTCTTGCAGGCGTCTTCGTGACCGATTTATTGAAGCAGAACGGCTCTCTCTTGCCATGGAAGTTTCTACCAAGTGTGGTCTTGACCCCTCAGGGGTGTGGGGAGCGGCTGGATTTGCTCTTTTACAAGCTGGAGATTTCCCTGGGGCCAGAGAAAAGTTTGC